TTTGCAACACATGTTTCTCTCCATGTTCGGAATTAACACAGTTGTGTCTCCATCCATCACAACAATTCACACAGCACACAGATCTACTCCTTTTTTCGGTTGGTCCCAGCAAAGGAGTATATTTGTATACTAGTATGTAGATGTATGAGTGTGTGTGGACATTCCTTACGGGAAATGCATTCCCATTGAAGATGAGGGTGTGCGGAACCCGGTATACTCTCTCCATATATAAAAAAAGAAAAAGAAGAAAATGGAAAAAATCATGTCTTCCAGTTGGGTTAACACATGACACACTCTGGAACAGACCTACACACACATGCACACATACACTACACATCTCTGCCAATCGGAACACATATTGCAATTTACACCAGCATCACTACGGGCTGCAACCAACATCCGAACAAGAACAACAAACAAAAAAATGAAAGTAAAATTTTGGGTCCTTATACTGACGATGCTGCCTCTGATGTTGCTGCTTCAGATGCTGATAAACCATAAACCAAAATGTGTTTACTTGGATACCCCCAAAGGATTGCTACTTTGTTTGGTGACCAAAACAACAACAGCAACAACCAACCAACTCAATGTTTCATCCATTTCATCAAAATGTGAAATTGTTGGTTAGGTGGTGCATACCTCCATCTGCCTTGGAGCGAAAACATTTCACTGCTGGTCCCCTCGCCAAAAATTCCAAATGTTGAAACATAAACTAATCATCAATCTTATGGAATCCTCCACAGGCTTAGATTAGATAATAAACTACCAAAAATAATATTCAGTATTCAAAAAAAAAACAAAAAAAACAAAGAAGAAGCAGAAGCTGAAGGTTGGAAATGAAGATATCCTTGCGAGATAAATTCGAAATCTAGTTCAAAAAACAATAAGTGACATACATAGATAATAAGGACCTCCAGAGCCATCAGAGGAGTGGATTTTTAAAGAATATTTTTTCAGGGACCTACACAAGGCTTGGATTTTTTAAAGAATATTTTTTCAAGGATCATCCCCAGGCGTGGATTTTTTAAATAATATTTTTTCAGGGACCTACACAAGGCGTGGGTTTTTTAAAGAATATTTTTTCAGGGACCTACACAAGGCGTGGATTTTTTTAAGAATATTTTTTCAAGTACCATCCACAGGCGTAAATTTTTTTAAGAATTTTTTTTTTTCAAGAACCATCCACAGGCGTGGATTTTTTAAAGAATATTTTTTCAAGGACCATCCACAGGCGTGGATTTTTTAAAGAATTTTTTTTTCAGGGACCTACACAAGGCGTGAATTTTTTAAAGAATATTTTTTCAGGGACCTACACAAGGCGTGGATTTTTTAAAGAATATTTTTTTAGGGACCTACACAAGGCGTGAATTTTTTAAAGAATATTTTTTTAGGGACCTACACAAGGCGTGGATTTTTTAAAGAATATTTTTTCAGTGACCCATACAAGACGTGGATTTTTTAACGAACATTTTTTCAGGGACCCATACAAGGCGTGGATTTTTTAAAGAATATTTTTTCAGGGACCCATACAAGGCGTGGATTTTTTAAAGAATATTTTTTCAGGGACCCATACAAAGCGTGGATTTTTTAAAGAATATTTTTTTAGGGACCTACACAAGGCGTGGATTTTTTAAAGAATATTTTTTCAGGGACCTACACAAGGCTTGAATTTTTTAAAGAATATTTTTCAGGGACCTACACAAGGCGTGGATTTTTTTCTATTTTCCTTAACCTGGTGCTGCTTCTAACTCCAAGTTCAGGAAGGCTGCGACCTGTATCGGTTGAGTCCAAAGAGAAAATGGGTTTAGGTGAGTGGGTTTGGCTAGGCAGTTGAATAGGTGTAGCGTGTCATGTGGTATAATACCACATGCCGAGCAGATATTATCGACCTCTCCATTAATTCGTGCCCAATATGAATGAAAAACACCATCTTGATCTTAACTGTGCTAAGACCACTCTGGTTTGTCGAGGTAGCTGCTGCTCTTCTGCAGCTATCGTAGGCGGGTGATCTCCGAGGATAGTATTCACACGATATTCTCGAATTGCTTCCTCAACTGCATCCGTGTGAATACGATTCAATCCTGCTTGATAGGCCTGTTGATCTAGAGGCTCCCTTTTGTACCTTTGGACCTCTCTCTCTCTCTCCACATCATGAAGATGCTTCCTGACTTGCCTAGGCTACTCCTATAACACCCAAGCAGGTATTTCATCGGCAACATCCTGTTGTGTTGACGCACAGAAAGGATCTTCGATATTCTCGAATCGGTTCCTCAACTGCATCCGTGTGAATACGATTCAATCCTGCTTGATAGGCCTGTTGATCCAGAGGATCTCTTTTGTACGTTTGGACCTCTCTTTAGATCATGAAGATCCTTCCTGACATGTCTAGGCTACTCCTATAACACCCAAGCAGGTATTGCATCGACAACATCTTGTTGTGTTGACGCACAGGAAGGATCTTCGTCTCCTCATGTAAGTGGTCCTCAGGCGGCATTCTGGTAGGATTGAAGGTTTTTCACTGCGTTGTACTGACGTTAGCGGACCACACTGGCGCCCCATAGTTTACGACAGACCGGCCTATTGCTGTGCGTGTCGTTAACAAGGTTTCTTTGTCAGCTCCCCAAGTGCTGCCGGCTAGCGACTTGATAACCTTGTTTCTGCTCCTGATTTTATCGCAAATAGCTGTGGCATGCGCTGTCGACTTTTAAAGACTATCGAATGTGGCCCCTAGAACCTTGGGGTACTTGGTGGTCGGAATCGTATGCCCCTCGACCTGCACATTCAAAGATAGCCGCATCTCCGCTGTCCATGTGGTAAACAGTGTGGCCGTTGACTTAGTGGCGGATATTTCCATATTTCTCGACCGAAAAAAACTCTGCAATATCCATTAGATTGTGGTACAGCCTCTCGCAAATGTCATCAATTTTAGGTCCTGACGCCATAATCATACAAACATCTGCATATGTTACGATCTTTATGCCGTCCGTTGGGCGTGGAATTCCAGAGAGGTAGAGGTTAAACAGTTCCGTAGATATCACGGAAGAGAGGTAGAGGTACTCTACTCCTGGCTCATGAAGCTGCTTCACCATGGAGATTCCATCTGGACCAAGCGCCTTGGATGATTTCGTGTTTCTGATGACACATGCAACATCACCCATCGTAAACTGTGGTGGTACCTTCTCGGCTGAAAGAGATCTTATACGACAAACTCACTTAAAATAACTTGCGCATCCTTCGGCTCAGTCACAGTTTCGTCGTTAAATGTGACTGAGGTCCTATCATCCTTCTTACCAGGGTTCGAGAGCGACTTAACCGTTGCTCACAGTTTACTTACTCCGGTACCAATGTTGCAACTCTTCAGATGCTCCAACCATTTATTCATCTTGTGTTCCGCGACAAATCTGCTGACCTCCAACGTAAGTTCCCTGACCCTGGGATCTGCTGGGTTAGATCGACGGAGCTCATCACGCTCGTTTGCTAGACCAACTGATTCTGCTGGGAAATTAGGTCTTATTTCGGGTATTCGACCACCATGTATAATTCTAGCAGCTACAGCTGTATTGATGCCTCGGAATTTCCTTTCCTGTACATCAGAAGGAATGGAAAGTTCTTGGTAGCGCTAGTTGGTGAACTCTATGAATCCTTGCCAGTTGGCTTTTCTATGGTTAAGGAATGTGCGGCGTTCAGAGATGACGAAATCGGGCGGTCTGCTAATGGAGACGATTATGTGGTCTGAGCCAAGAGAAATGACGGGCTGCCAGCTGACGTCATTTATCAGACCTGGTGACACAATGTTTATGTCTGGCGAACTGTGACACTCTCCCCTTATTCTGGTAGGGGCAATTAATGACGGCCAAATAACGCGGTTCACAGCTATTAATCGGCGGTATGTACACGTTAAGCACCTCTACCTCGGCAGTACCACATTTAACTGCTACCCCCATACATTCCATGTATGGGTCACTAGAGTCAAGCTCAAACGAGATAGCCCTGTATTGAACAGAGTGGTGCATAAGGAATGTTAGGCCTCCACCTCCACTTTTTGGTGGGATTCTTCCTCAGCACGTTGTAACCATCACAACGCGGTAGGCTACAATTTTCATTGAGCTTGGTTTCCCGCACCGCCGCGACCATAATATTCTTCCGATTCATAAAGTCCACTATCTCATCTATTTTTCCTCGAAGACCGTTGCAATTAAATTGCAGAAACGATCCACTGGTGGGGTGGGAACAGCAACGTGCAGTGTTAAGTGCTGCATATTTGGTTGCTGTTGAGAAGACTGCGGTGGAGTTCCTTACTCCGACGAAGAAGATGACGTCGTAGAAGACTTGCTGGGGATTGCGCTGTCGCAGCACGAGGCAACGTAATACCTTTCGCTGTAATCTCGCAATAGGGCCAACCCGGAACAATTCCTGAAGTTCACCCACTCACCCATTACATCTCACCGACACTGACCAGTGGTGAATGATGTTCTGGCAAACCGAACAGAACCACGGCCCGGGGTTTTGTTCGATCCCGGCACGGGCCAAATAATTCCGGAGCAAGCATTCCGGGATATGTTGCTCCCAAAACAGAAAAACAATAAATATATAACTGGGTTGGCAGCCGCAGGCCGAGAAGAATCGGATTGATTATTTTGTTTGGTTCCATTTCGCATGTTCTGAATTGAAAATCCGTATCTGAGTATATCCAAATTGATTTATTTTAGAAATGTTCGTTTTCATTTTTTTTATTTCATAAAATAATTAGTTTTTGAACCTACATAGTTCCTTTGATATCCATCGTTATAATTTAAAATAATAATACAATAATAATAATAATATTTTTTATAAGAATAATAATAATAATAATAATAGTTGTAGAGTAGTAGTAATAATAATACACAATATAGACATAATAGGGAATGCAAAGCATATGACCGAAAATTAAATTCTATTTCTTCAACACTTTATTAATATTTTTGTCCACTACATTCCGTCATTCCCTGTCATGCGACCATTTAATCGAAACTAATCAATTCGGCAGTGGCCGGTTCTTCATGTGCTGGTGGTGCTGCTGGTTCGGGTTCATGTTGTGGAGGTGCCGGGGCCGATTGTACAGCTTGAATTTGTGTGGCCGCCTGCATTTGTGGTGGTGGTGGTTGCATTTGTGGTTGGGGTTGTGGGGCTGGAACTTGTTGGGGTGTCTGCGGTGGTAGAGATGCAGCAACCTGTTGCTGCTGCTGTTGTTGTTGGATTTGTGGTGAAGAAATGGTGGTCATTGGATTGGCTTGGGGTCCTGGTAAATTTCCTATATTTGGTATGGGTGATTGGCCATGCATTAGATGTTGTTGTTGCTGCAGCATAACATGAGCCATGTGGGGTGGATGTGGTACAGGTGCTCCTCTCATCGCCGATAATTGTGGTCCTGGTCCTTGCGGCATGGCTTGGTTATTTGTCACTGGTATTTGATTGTTGACCTGAGGAACGTGATGGTTATGTGTGGGCATAGGTTGTTGTTGTTGTTGCTGCTGTGATTGTGGTTCTCCTCCTGCTGCCATTGGTGGTCCTGGTTGCGGTTGATGTGGCTGAGATTGTTGTTGCTGCTGTGGTTGTGGCATCATGCCGCCAGCTTGTGGCATGTGATTTTGCATGACATGTGGTTGATTTAGTGGCCCCGGTTGCTGCTGTTGCATCATCATATTACCAGCCTGTGGCAAACCCTGAGGTGGCATACTAGGATATTGCATACCCGTCATAGCAGCCGCCGCAGCCTGGGTAGTATGATAAGGAGGCATACCACCCACCATGGCTGCTCCAGCTGTTGTTGTGGCACTAGGAGAGTATGGATTATAGACACCTGGTGGTTGAATTCCCGCCAGATGTTGCGGCTGCTGAGATGGTGACCCTTGTGGCGGCATGCCGGCCATGGCGGGCATAAATGGAAATGCTGTCTGATTCATACGATATTGGGCCATTTGTTGTTCCTGACGCAGTTGCATTTCCCGTTCCTGTTCCTGAATACGATGCAGTGCCAGCTGGCGTTGATATTGCAGATATTCCTGTTTCTTTTTGCGCATTATTTCCAACTTCTGGGCCATTTGTATCTGTCGTTGACGTTCCTGCTCTTCGGCCATACGTCTCAAATTTTCAGCATGTTCATTTCGTAGATCATCCAGGGCGGCTCGTGAGTCCTTGATTTGTGCCAACTTATCCTGTAACTGTTCATACCACATCCGTTTGTCGTCCAACTCTTTGATGAACGACAACTGTTGCGAATGTAAATTGGTCAATGTCATAAACAAGGTTTGCACCGAACTGTCGTTGGCAATGCTGCGACCTCTACTCGAATTCGATTTCATGCGATTAACAAATATCTCCACCTGGGCACGCATATTGGCGGCAAATTCATCGATTTTTTGTTCATCAGTTGATTTGGGACGAAAGTCATTGGCAGTCAATGGTTGCTGTTGCGATTGCGTTTGTTGTTGCTGTGGCCCCATCATCCCTTGGGGTTGTGGTGTTGCCGGCATAGGGCTGGGTGCCGATGGGCTTGCCATTGGTGAATCGCTAACTTTACGTTGCTCCCAATAGCTGCGATTTAAATATTTGGCCAAATCGGGATTAGTTTCTTCGGGTTGGGGTTCTTTGGGTGCCGGTGGTGCTTCAGGACTAGGTGAACGTTGTTGCAAACGATAGGCAGCAATTGTCTGGAAAAGGAGGAATTTTAAAATGGTTATTTTCGTAATAGACAATTTGTGTTGGAAAAAAGGTAACATATTTTGGCACTCGAATAAAATAATGCCTGAGGTTAAATATTATTTTAGTAAAACTTATGCTCCTAGCCTAGTTATTGATGTGTCAGTCTTCTCTGATTGAATCAAAACCCGAGTTTCTAAACAAGTTCAAATAAAGCAATGAAATCTCAATCTAAAAAACAACTGAAAGAGCAATTCCAATATAAACTCGATAATCGTGCTCTTTGTGGCATCGTTTGATAGGGATCGATGCTCGTTGTTTCATCGATTGTTTATTTTGATATTTCCAAATCTCCATAAGAATTATGCTATGTTGAGGTAAGGAAGAATTTTCGTTTTCTCCTAATTAGCAACAGACCGACATATCGCTTTATAATCAACCAAATTTCTTTGACTGCACCCCAAGAGCTGCCTTGATTACATTTTAGGGGATTTTATTCAAGCGCCATTTTAGTTATGCTATGGACATTTTTTTTTTTCATAAAGTGTGGTCAATCCATATCCATTCCCTACGTTCAATCTGCTTTTATATGGGTTCATAAGGTTTCACAGTTCTACGTTACTTATAATGTAGGGCCAGAATATTCCGCATATGATCCTGAGGCATTTGTTTATGAATACCTGTAGCTTTGGCGCGATGGTGTTTAACACAAGCCAGGTTTCACTACCGTATAGCAGAATCTACATCATACAGGCTTCGAATATTTTAAGCTTGGTTTTCCTAGATATATTTGAGTTTCTCCATAAACCTTGCAATCGACCGAATGATCTTTCGCTTCGGTTTCGTATTGATTATGTCTATTTCTTCAACACCAATTGTAGTTATAGTGCTTCCTAGGTACCAGAAGCAATCAACGTATCCAATTGCTTGACCTTGTAGCATGATGCTTTTCCTACTGGTGTTGTTAATTTTCATGGTCTTACTTTTCTTGATATTAATCACAAGTCCAACATTGCTAGCCAATCTTTCCAGATCTTCTAATTTTTTACTGCATGTTGGATATTAGTTCAGAGCAACGTCGAACAGACACCCATTATCTACATCAATTGCATCTCACCGAGAAGGATGCGGTTCCGGGAAACACTACAAAACCAAAAATGACGCACACCAACATGTATATGTTGAGGTGGTAGCCTCTGGTCGGAGTTCATCTCCGATTCAATCCGATACATAGAACCAGCCGCCGTAGTCTCTTTCTCTGTCGTTGGCTTTTAGCACTTTCGCCGGTAAATCATCTTCTCCTGCTGATTTGTTACGTTTTAATCGTTCTATTACCTCTTTTATTTCCTTTGAGCTGGGAGGGTTGCACGATATATTCAGTGTATTTTCTATCGAACTGCTTTTGTACATTTCGTTATTTTCAGTGGTGTTTCCGGATTTACTGTTTTCATAGAAATGTTTTCTCCATCTTTGAGTTTGTTTATCATTGTTTGTTAGAATATTTTCATTCAGGCTAGCTGTTTCCTCGACTGTTTCCGCCAGATTGTACAATTTTCTTTAATCTGTTCTTGCTGATCTCTTCAGTTGTTTTGCTAGTACTTGTTACTGTTCTTTTGTGATATTGAGAATGTTGTTTGGTGTTCGGAATTGTAGCTTCTCGACCTGCACGTTAAGTAACATTCTTTTCTCGGTTGTCATTATGTTTAGAGTACGATTTGGACGACATCAATCATTTGGACTTTCTCTTTCGGAGAACAACGTACGACTGCCATTCACACTTATAATTATTTATCCAACGTCTCAAACTTGGCTGGAGGCTAGTATTCTCAATATCGTCAAACAGAGATGGATAATAGACGGCAGCGATAGGTCAAGCGCTACCACCACATGTTTAATCTGTTCTGGTTTAGCGCGAAGATAAAATATACACTGTTGTACATATGATGTTTACAGAATCCATGATCTGCAACTGGATAGCTTTCCCTTGTGCTAGGGAAGGAGTAATGCCTACATCTGGTATTCTTTCCTGCCTTTAGTAGCAATACAATCCTTCGGTATTACCAATGAAATATGAGATGATCGACAAATTTTCGGTTTATATATTTGCACATCTTTTCCTTTACCACGTTAAGAGTTATTATCATCCTTATTTTCAAATTTCGAGATCGACTTAACATTTTAGTATTTCCGCTTATGCTACGCCACTAATCCCCGACTTTGAGATATGTGGAATATGGACGACAGAGCTCATCCTGCCAATTAATCAGTCCAACACTATCTGCTGGAAAATTGTGTGTCATCTCGAGTATTTAACTAGGATCTGCAACTTACACTATGTCTCCGAATTTCCTTTGCTAGCCGAACATCAGAAAGTTCTCTGAAGCAGTGTCGGGGGAACTCTTCGTAACCCTGTCTTTTGGCTTTCCTATGATTAAGGAGTGCAGCGTTCCGAAGTAATTAAATGGGGTAGTCTGCTGATGGACATGTCGGGCTGCTTATTAACGTAATTTATTAAACCGGTGACAAAAGGATTTTATCTGGCGAACTGTGATTCATCGTGCAAAATGTTATGAACTATAATTTTTTCCTGTCAGCATTGCTCATTACCTAGGACGGAATGTCACAACTCATATTGTGCATTGAAGTTGCCTAGTAGTGTCAAGATGTACTGAGGGCTTTGTTGAGCATCAGGTTGTCTTGACAAGGTGTAATTGACATTCTGAAGACTACAGATCAATCTTGGCCGTGTTACATAATAAATATGCCATATTCAACATGATGACGTTTTTATAAACTGAAGAATGGCTTATGGTGTGGTCTCAAAATGTCACTTGAGCATTTGTTGTGCGAAAGGTATCACAACAGTTTGTTACATAGGTATTTTTCCGGTCACCGGGTAAGTCAGAGCAACGACTTCCGTTTTAATACTCGAAACAGAAGGAGGCCTTGGTGGAAATGGGATGGGAATTCTGCTCAATACCAGCTATGATCAATAGGATCCTAAGAAAATCGGTTTGTTCTACTTGGGAAAACCAATCACTTGGCGGGATGAAATCAGCGCAGATACGATTTTCGTTGGAACTCGGATGTAGTTGTTTAAACGGCCGTCACATTTTGGAACTTTTTGTCCGTGTTAAATATACTCTTCATTATTTGCCAATCCGCATTCGGATAAATGTGATCATACAATTACAATTAAATAGTTTTCAAACGGATTGGTTTGCTGCCTCGTTTTTTTTACTTTATCGTCCACGGAATTTTCCAACTTCTCCGATATTTTCATATTTCAAAACCATTCAATTTTCTTTTGTCGGCAGCTTTTATTGTCCATGTTTCGCAAACGTATAGGAATGTTGACGACATATAACACGTGACGAATCTAATTTTCTTTAATATATGAAGCGCTGTATTATCCACGCATATCGTCGAAGTTGACAATTCATGTCCGAGATAAACTCGGCTCGTTCCAGAGCTTATATCCGATTTTCATTGGAATGCAAATATAGCAGCTTACATGACCCGCTTTTTTGAAGCTCTTTGGCGATGTTAAATATTATACAATTCGTGCCGACGTCCATGGAATATTTTTTTCTGGCAAGTGTTTTTACTAACCCATTTGCGAACTAATAATCCTTGAACACTGATTTACTTTTTATCAATTTTTTAGTCTTCAATCTAATTCAGCGACTATTACATTTTTCTTTCTCTTTCAGCTCATAAAAGATATGTGTCACCACACAAACAATAATTTAATCGATAATATTTGTGTCTATTTCCGAATGCTTTACAAAACAACTGCTCGCCACTGCAGTCTAGTCACAAGAATAAAGGTAAGTTGTTGCTACAATTTTGTTTATAATTTTCATTACTTTCACTAAATCCCATTGCTTCCATTCTCCGACGCGTTGCGATAAGATAACAATTTAAGAAAAAATACAAGTGTTAATAAATCAAATATTTAAAATTACCTGTTGTTGCTGCTGTTGTTGTTGCTTTTTACTTTCTGCCTCCGATTGACTCAGAGCCAATGCCAATTGCAATTCTTCTTCTTCCTTCAATTCTTGTTCGGTTTTTCGTGGTGGTGTCTGTGCGGGAGGAACAAACAAAACAAAAAATAAACAAATACGATAACATGGAAAATATTGGGGAGGAGGAAGAACAAGAAAAATAAAAATTAATACCAACATTACTCACCTGAACTTGTTGGGCCAAAGAACTGTTTAAATATTCAGCTGGTAAATCGGTTTCTCCTGGGCGTCCAGTGGCCTTAGCCGATGTGGGCCGTTGCAACTGGGCATAACACCCATCGCAGACACGGACCTAGGAAATAAAATAAACAATTTTCAATATTTTTGACTTTAACAAAATTATATTTTAACTTACATCCTTTTCAATACCAAATTTGGGTAGGGGACACGATTTACTTGTACATTGGCCACAAAACACCTGACCACAATTGCGACAATGGTGTTTACGATTGGTAAAGGTAAAATCATCACGACAACGATGACATTTTTTACCATCTGTCCAATTGGGTGCTGTATCCATGGCAAACATGGCATCAGCCTCCTTGAGTTCGGGAAATTGATGGCCTTTGGTCTTTAGTATGGTCATTGTGTCCTGTAAGGAGTGAAATGAAAAAATAGATTAATATATTTTGTAAAACAAAAAATACAAATAAATGAACCTCCTTCTGAAGATCTTCTACTTCTAATTCTTCTTCCGAACTCATTTCAAAAATTTAAAATTAATTGTAATTGAAAAAAGTTTGCTATTCAATTATAGCCAATTGTTTGCTGCCTTTGTATGGGTTGGTTCTCCAATGTTGGCACTGCGCACACTGTATTCTAATTTAATTATTCATTGTGTTGTTGATGTCCATTGACATTCAAAACAAAAGTTCAAATCATATGATAACGTCTAACAGTCATGCTTTTGTCTTTGGTTTTGAAAGGGGTTGGAGAAAATTGAAAAGAGAAAGCAAGAAACCGAGGAGGAAATCGTTCGCATCGTTCGGAAATACGTAGGGTCTTTGTTTTACCATCCGTTCGATTTTCCTCTCTATTATACGGGAATTTTAAACAAAATCAACATAAAACTAGTGAGCGGAGCAGTATAGTCGGACATATGATACACTACACAATTTCCACGAAAATCTAATTTTCTGTAGTTCTATATTCTTAGCTTGGGCAATATTTCGCAATATTTACACTCTCATGACCGATTAAAGGTCAACCAATATTACTAATATTCAATACAATTCTTGGCCATATTCCCTTCACCGTGAGTTGTGTTGCGATGTTCGGCTTTCAATTGTGGGCTATAGATCGACTCGAAATAATACAAAAAATTAAGTTCTCGGATCAGTCCAACCGAAAGTTATTATCTGATCATCACCGAAAATTATAGGCGTTGTCCTTGAACATACATGGATTCTCATGGAAAATTGTAAAGAGATCAGAGCTATATTTCCGGCCTCTAGTGTGGTAATGGGTTACTAAATAATATCTGAATACGTTATCACCTGTAAATATTTAAGTGTAACTCCACATATGAGAACATACGACAATATAATTGGTATCAATTTAAAGGTCAACCACTCCTCATGGATATACTATCAACTTTTTGGGTCTATGCCCTTCCGGAGTTGATATATACGGCATAGAATACAATTTTTTAATTTTTCGCACAAAAGTCAGGGTCCATTTGACCCTCTAAATAATGACCGATCTATATCCAAACAAACATGCTCATTCTTTGGCCCGATCTCCTACTCCATGTAAAATTTCACGATGTTCGGGCCATAATAGCGGCATCTGGACCGACCAGAAAAACCGGCAAAAATTAAGTATTTGGTCCATTTAATCCCATAAATATTAACCGATCTTTCCCAAAAACAATAGGGGTCTTCATTGTACAGAACCCATCCTACACTCAAAATTTTTTGAAGATTGGTTCATAACTGTGACCTTTATCGTGTTTAAAATTATAATGGACAGACGGACGGACTCACATGTCTAGATCGACTCAGCTAGTCGAGATATGGCCGGTGTACTTGAAGGTGGGTCTAGGACCAATATTTCACGGCGTTACAAACTCTTGGGGCTGCACATAGCAATAATACCCTGACAACATATTTGTGTAGGGTATAACCAGTAAGGAAAGTAGTTATGTCGGACAGGGCCGACTATGATACTCTTCACCACTTTGGGTCTTTAGTGTACACTTTACAAAAAATCGAAGGAAAATATAAATGGAAGCTATATCTAAATCTGAACCGATTTTCACACATCATTCTAGATGCAGTTCAGTTAAAATATGACGAAAAATATTGGAACTATATCTAAATCTTAACCGATTTTTACGAAGCTTAGCAGACATCATTCTAGACTCAATTCAGTACACAATGCCAAATTTCGCACAAATCGAAAGATATAGAAGGACTTTGGTGCACCATTTACCTTAAATCCGACGAAAATATATATGGGAGCTATATCTAAATCTGAACCGATTTTCACGAAACTTATCACACTTAATGAGAACCTAAAAAAAAACAAATTCAAGCCAATTTGGTTTAAGAAGCGTCCAAAATATCGAATAATGGGGGTTTTCAATATGTGGGGGCTACGCGGACCCATGGGCCAATGTTGATCATTTTTGGTAGGGAGATTTTCTACTCAATGAGAGTGGAAAATATTAAATTGCTCCCATATCAAGCTCCTCAAATGCTTTTATCACTACACTCCATGTGGTAATAATGGGGTTGGCGACTTCGTGGCGGATATTTTCATATTCCTCGCTTTAAAGAAGGCTGTTAATTCGATGAGATAGGCGTTCAACCTCACACATATGTCCTTAACAATGGGAACAGACACCATGATCGTATAATCATCTGCATATGTAACGATTTCTATGCCGTCCGGAGGACGTGGAATACCGGAAAGGTAGACGTTAAACAGTTCCGGAGAAATCATTCCACCCTGGATACTCCATGTTTAACTCTACGGGGTTTGGACTTCTTATTCCTGAAATCCACGTACGACTGACGTCCACACATATAGTTGATTATACAACGTTTCAAACTCGGCCGGAGGGATGTGTTCTCGTTTTCCATAGTAACGTTACCACCTTTTATTCGGAATTTTGGGGAGTTTTGAATGCTCATAAGGTAGCAAATATTCGTAAAAAAATTATAAATATTGGTGCACTTTTTTTAGATAGTCCCCTGTACTTTGGCACGTTATTAACTAATTGGCTCTAATTTGGGACTCCTTGGATATCAAATTCTAATACGAAAATTAGCCATGGCATTTATGAAGGTACCAAAAATTGGTTCGATGATGCGTTTTCAAAATGATTTAGTAGAATTTCGTTTGAATTTTTTAAGTCCGATTTTGGTTCACTAATTGCTTTACTCCTCCCTATTATTTTAATAACACTTTAGAATCACTTTCGCACTCACCTTTATAGCTTGATATCTTTCGGAATTGCGAAATGCATATGCCCATGTCTGGATCAACTCCAATAATTTTGCCCGGACATTATCATGAGTGGTCTGTTCCAAAAATTGACTCAACATAGTGCAATTTTCTTTGGTAAAAACTTCATCATGCATTGGTGTACCACAATTTTTCACAACTGATTCCAATACCAGACAAGCATAGTAGGCAGTGTGGGGATTTGTGGAGTTCAGTTTCTTTTTGATGGCTGCAAAGGCATTTTTGGGTCTGGAAAAAAACACACACAAACAAATATTTAAATTTAAAAATCAAATATTAATATAACAAAATTCCAACTTACGCTATATCCTTTTGATTAATGGCATCACAGCACATCATTATCGATGGCCATTCAGGCTCCAACAATAGGTGGCTTGTGGCTCCATCTGGAAAAAACGAATAGGGAGAGAGAGGGGGAGGGTGTTGATATTATCAATGTTCTGTTCTTTTCAAATGAAACGTATTTCTCTTTGTATTGCAATTCATATAATTGTCGTTCATGTTGTTGTTGTTGTTTTATTTTTTGTTTTAATACGAAATAAAACGGAAAAGATTACTGCTCCCTTTCCGTTGGACGGACGGATGATCTTTGTGATAATTTGTTTTCTTTTTTTCTTCATATCACTTTAATTGATGAGTCACTACGGTTTTGTTTTTTCTTGTTTTTTTTTTTTTTTTGCAAAATCGAGAAAACACCAACAAATTTTGCACCGGCGAACTTACCCAGATTTTTATCAAAATTTGTACGAAACATTTTGTATTTCGTTGCAATTTGTCTGCAATTACAAAAAATGGGTGGTGTTTTTCACTGTATTTTCTATATTTTTTGTTGCTGTGTTTTTCTTTTCTGCTAGTCGCTTTGCAAATTTTCCTGCTTTTTCTTCCTTGTCAAATGTTAGGGTTCTATAGTTGCGATATTTGTCTATTCGATAAACTGCAATTGGAGATGACTATTGTGAATGACATTAGGTGATGGTGCGATATATCAAATTCGCCATTGTGGGGAACGCTTTTAAATGAAAAAAGGGAATTTTTTGGAAAAATTTAATTAATTGGAACAAATGATATCAGATTATTAAGATAATGGTATGGCAGTAATAACGAAAACTATAACAGTCAGCACAAACACGCATAGTATTGATTCACACTAGAGTAATCTCATGAAACAAATTACATGAGATCCGCAATATAGTAATGTTTAAAAAAAATGCTCGTGTGAGAAAGCTGCGACTGAAGAGGTGGTCTTTGACTCTATTTTCCAAGTTGTATACGGTCTACTCTCAGGTCATGTAATATGACCGCCAAAAAAATAGGTTTTTTGTTGGCCTCTTATTATTTACTTAGCTGGCTTGTGACAGAACTTTCCCATAGATTTTTCAAAAAAAAATTCTCTCAAACACTCCAAGAGCTGCCTCATCTGCTGCTTACTTAGGCCATAGTAGCATCTGTTGGCAAACACTACCCTTCTCCAGTTGACACGAATCTACTGGACGTCTTGCTCGTTAATACCATCAGCTTGGTCTTTTCCTAATTTACTGTCAGACCTACTTTGGCAGACACCATCTAAATTTGTTCAAAGGTGGTTGTTACCGCTCACAATGTTTGACCCATTATATTTATAGCATTGGCGTAGGCGAGTAACATGTGTTGTTTGGTGTACAGAGTGTCATTTCTGTTCACCTTTGCCTCTCGTTTTCCAGCAGGATGTTAACAAGGCCACACGACAGTCACCTTGTCTGAATCCTCGTTCGTTATTAAAGGGCTCCGAGAGGTCCTTTCCGACTTTAACTGCTAATCTAGTGCCAGTTAAAGTTATCCCGCAGAACCGATTTAATTTTGCAGGAATGCCAAACGCAAACATGGCTTTAAACACCTCTGATCGGATTGGGCTGTCGAATGTTGCTTTGTAGTCGATGAATAAGTGGAATGTGTCGATGTATTTTTCGTGGGATTTGGCGAAAATCTAGTCTTTGGTGGATTTGCCAAGTCTGAAGCCGCATTGGTATGGTCCAATAATGTAATTGACCATTGGCCTCAGGCGTTCACACAGCACGCTGAAAAACACTTGATATGCGATGGGACGGAGACTAATTCGTCTATATTTGGCACTTATCGTCTTGTCTTTTTTTTTTGCATTCTCCTAGCCAAATTGTATTAAACAGCTGGTGCATGTTCCTGATCAGCGTCTGACCCCCCGTCCTTGAATAGTTCATCGGCACCTGCTGCTTTATTATTCTTCAGCCGATTGATTGCTATTCTGACCTCATCTTGGCGAGGTGGTATACACTATATACCGTCATCTCTTATTGGTCCTGGGGTCCAGAAACTTTGCGAAATGATCCTTCCTTCTGTATCTGTCACCAGGTTTCCTTATTCATCTCTTCAGGAGAATGTGCCTATGCCATGTATGAAAGCTCCGACTATGTAGAGCTCTTTGGCTCTATTTTCCATGTTGTGTTAGGTCTACTCCCACGACATGCAATATGCCTGCCATAAAAGTCGGTATTTTTTGATCTCTTATTAAGCGATATAGGTCAGATAGATGCATCCTAATCTTCACATGGTGGATACAACTCTACCACCTAGACGATCACAACCAATCTGAATAGGAATACACTGTAAATGTAGTTATAATTACAGATGGATTTAGGACCACTGTTGTGGTCGATTCTGTAAATCGCTGTGTAAGCGAAGTGAACAATTAAACTAAAAGAAGTGAACTAGGTGAAACTAGTTCACATCGTTCATTACACAAAACCATCAATTGCACTACTTTGCTCCGAAAGAACCCAAAATCTCCCAACTCTAATTCCAAAAAAATGTCTCAGGATTCCAGCAGTATTACCGATGAAATATCAAATGGGAAAAATAAACAGGAAGTTCGTTGCCGATTTTGTAATTCTCTAATGCTAAAGGAACAAGAGGGTAGCTATGAAAGTAAACCGGTAAGTGAATACAATCTGCCACCTTTTCTTCGACATGACGTGATAAATTGTTTTTTTTTTCGTCTTGATATTTTTTCTCCAGTTCGATCTGCCGCTGATGCATCAGAAAAATACCAAAGATATCAATACCATAGAATGCGAATCGTTAAGTGACTACTGGATCATTAACGATATGTTTACATTCGAAAATATCGGCTTCTCGAATACAGTGGATAAGAGGAAATTTCTGATATGTGCCGATTGTGATATGGGTCCGGTGGGCTATCATGATATCGATACGAAAAAATGTTATTTGGCATTGAAGCGAGTGCATCATGGCAAGGAACCGGCGGCAAAGGCTGTAACCAATAATTCATAGATAATAAATAAAAATGGACCCAAGATGGAAATTTATAAAGTGTTTCGCTTATACAGTCGGGTGTAGGGAGTTAAAATTAAAGGGTGTATTTTTAAAGTCTATTTTTTTGATCTGACCATGGCATGGATTTTGAAAAGAACCACATAAGGCGTGGATTTTTTAAAGATTATTTTTTTAATGCCTAACCAAGGCGTCTATTTTTAAAGATTATTTTTTTAATGCCTAACCAAGGCGTCTATTTTTAAAGGAATATTTTTTCAGCGTCTAACCAAGGCGTCTATTTTTAAAGGAATGTTTCGGTGAGGCGATTTTATTTTTTAATGTATTAACCTCGGTGATTTTTTTAAATGTATTAACCTCGGTGAGGGGTTGGATTAAAAAAAATGTATTAACCTCGGTGAGGGGTTGGGTAAAAAAATGTATGGACCTCGGTGAGGGGATGATTAAATAAATTGTAAGGACCTCAGAGACGAATACTTTTTAGGGACTTCTGAATGTCGTGGATTTTTTAATATTTTTATGGACTTCAGAGAGGCATGGATTTTTTTAAGAAAAGGCTTTTTCTGGGACCTCGGAGACAAGTTCATTTAAAAAAAAAATTTTTTAGGGATCTAAGTAAACAATATTTTTTAAGGACTTAGAAATTTCTGATTTATAAAAAAAAATAATAATAAAATATCAGGCTTCAACAAATGGCCTAGATTAAAAAAACAATTTCAATTTTTACTTTCCTCATGTTTTTTTTTATTTCTAGAAAAAAAATAGTTATTTCTCAAAAAAAGGAAAACTTTTTAACTTAAAAACTGTTGCGATTCTTATGCCATATTTAAGTAGTCGTTTGATTTTGTGATACGTACAAAAATGTCTGATAATACAAAATATTTTCTCCTCCATGCGCTCATCTATCTTCCTCTGCCACGACCACGAGGAAAACCCCTGCCACCACGACCCCTAATAATCTTACTATTAGCTGGTGGACTTTTGGGTCTTAACGATTCAATGCGTGTCGTACAACCCGTTGCAGGTGCTTCAGCAAAATATGTCTGATATAATTCGGCATTAAAATTCGAATTAGTCAATTCTGGGCCAACGGTTAACCAACCCGGACGTATACTTGAATCCCTGCCAAATAAATGCAGACGACGGCGACCCAAACAAAAATGTTCAATGATGTGGAATATTTCTATGGGCTTTTCAAATGAACCAAATTCATCTTCTTCGGAAATGATCAAATCAATATCCACATTGGCATGTATAAAATCACCATCTGTTGAACGTCGTACCGTGCCCTTTATGCCCATCAAACAATGTTCCTTGGTACGTTGAAATACTGCCTTGGGTTCCAGTTGCTTGGAATGACCGGGTTTATTGATATTCGTACGAATCCAACAGATATCTTCACACCGTCGAAAACCCCATTTCTTTAGACAGTTACGGCCCATATCCAAACCTTCCGATGAGCCACACCACAGGAACACAAACGAACGATGGGCAGCAATTTCTCCAACATCAAGATCTAAGGGGGAAATTGTGGTTAAAATTAAATACATGGTTTATATTTTATGTCTCCTTACTCAAAATTTCATCCCAGTTCCAAAATACCCGTGGAGCTCCACCCACCGTGGCCACAGATGGTGCCGCCCTTGCATATTCCTCCAGTGGCGGTTCTATGAGTATTACATCAAATTTGGTACCCAACGTTTTCACATCCAAAGTCTTTAAATCGGCTTTCAGATACATCGGTGGTGAGGCCGTATCCTGGATGAGTTTATCCTTTAGCCGTATCAATTCCCTTAGCTTTGGATACTCCTCAAATCGATCTGCTAAACCTACATCACGTATAAAATTTTGCGGCCTTTGACCGGTATCTACAAAATGTTGGCAGTAATCATTGTGGGGATTGGACGATTGTGTTCCCTTCAGAAATGTCGATGAATCTCGGTATATAATTTCTCCTGGTGTCTTCTTTGATGCACTAGCACCGCCACCATCAGCCTCTTCATCATCTTGAGATCGTTGGCTATTGTGTACGGAACTGGTATTCGGACCAAAACTATTGGAATTTAAATTTGATCCATTATTCGAATCATTATTTCCTAATGCTATTTTCAGTTCATCTACACTGGACAGGCCCAACTGGATGGAAAACATGGGGGAATAACAATTAGTAAAGGGGGTTTCCTTTTGTGCACTCAAGAACTTACTGTTTGGGCCAACAATTGTTTACGTTTGCGTGATCGCTCCTGCGAACTTTTCAGGACATCACTCATGACTTTATAAGTTGTTGTAATATTAATAAAAATTTCCCAAATTAATTTTAATTTTGTTTAACTTGCCTTTTGCCGACTATGCCGAGTGAATGCTTTTCTCGTGCCTTTTTCACCGATTCAAAGAAAAATTGAAAAACGTTCCACCTGTTAACGAATGGAAGCAGGAGACAAAATGCCCGATAAAGAAGAAGTCAAAGTGGAGAAACGAAATTTACGAATAATGTGGGATGGAGACGACGAATGCAGAGCCACACACAATGTACCGTTCTAGCGGCGTTAACCGGCTTTACGTGGCTTGGTTGTACATATTTGTAGTTATAACGGCCCTAAAACGTTAGGGGTAGCCATAATAAACTGATATAAAAAAGGGTTATAAAATACATATTTTTCATGAGTTTCTTGGATTTTTTAAAGAATATTTGTTCAAGGGACCACAGAGGCGTGGAGTTTTTAAAGAATATTTTTTTCAATGACCAACAGAGGCGCAGGTTTTTTAAAGAACATTTTTTCAATGACCAACAGAGGCGTGGATTTTTTAAAGAATATTTTTTCAATGACCAACAGAATAAAGAATATTGTTTCAATGACCAACAGAGGCGTGGATTTTTTAAAGAATATTTTTTCAATGACCAACAGAGACGTGGATTTTTAAAGAATATTTTTTCTATGACCAACAGAGACGTGGATTTTTTAAAGAATATTTTTTAAGGTCTATCAGAGACGTGGATTTTTAAAGAACATTTTTCAAGGTCTATCAGAGGCGTGGATTTTTCTAAGAATATTTTTTAAGGTCTATCGGAGGCGTGGATTTTTTAAAGACTACTTTAAATGGTCTATCAGAGAAAAAAAATCATAAAAATGTTTCCAATTCATTGCGAATCTTTATTTCGAATAATTCATATTTTTTCAGAAAATAATAAACGGAATAAAATTGTAGTTCAAAACCAGCTATCCCTTTCCATAAGGCGAATAATTATATGGCCAGCAAATAATATATATTCCATATATATAATAATAATAAAATCCATAAAATACTCCGATTGATTAGTATATTGCCAAATTACGAATGGGTCCCGAAAAAACATAACCCAATGCCGTTTGATAGGCATGAACATCACCAATGCCACTAAATATGGCACTGCCATCTCTGCGTATGGCCGAATATGTGTCTGCTCCCAATTCAATGTCAATCGGTGTATTAGTAGTTGGGTCAACATCGGCTATATTGTCGCGGCTAAAATCACGAACAGGGTCTTCATTAATGGGGTCAGAATAGAGTCTACGTGGTAGTTCATCCGTAATCAGAGCATGTACCCTCAACAACCAGTTGCTACGTTCATGTCTGGACATTATATTAAATGTTGTAAAATTCGCATCCTTATATTTAAATGAACTTAAGCCCAAACGACGAAAAGTGGTTGTGGAAATTTTCGACATAATCGATGATTGACTCAGCAGAGCCCTCACCGTTATGTATGAGTCAAAGGTGTCCTCAGCTACCTTTATGGTGACCGTTGGTACAAAAACAAAATCCCATTTTAAAGTGGGTGTGGTGGTGGATACAGTTTGAATTTTCTCCTGACGTGGCCTAAAGAATTGTGGTACTATTTCATTGCTCAGAGAGTCATCATGTGAGTCCTGGAGGTCCTGCAACGATCCATTACTTATTATTATTTGGTGATTATTACTTCGCCGCGAAGTGGATTTCTTTGTTGTACGTCCACGTTGCTCTCCCAGCTGGACAGCACCATGCAAATGAGTGTGATGACGAGCATTACAAATCCGACAGCCATCCAATGAGGGACAAGCCGGAGCCAAATGACTCCTTGCCAAGCAATTCTTGCAATATCCTCCACGCATTGCAATTTTATAGCGCTTCGTAGCGGACATTTCCCGAAAACGACGACACGAGCTGAGAGCATGATCTTCCTCACATATCGAACAGGAATATTGCCAATCAATTGGTCGATCCGGTTCCTCGGAACGACTACGACGATCATCGGATCGAGAACGGTGTCTACGTTCAATTTGACGATTGTGTCCTCGGTCATTTGAACGATGTCGCCGAACGTTGTTGGGCCAGTCATCATCTTCGGGTAAATATGCTGCCATAACTAAATGATTCGTAGATATAGAAATAATTTATTAATTTTTATAATGGAATTGCATATATTTATTTCCATGATTTTTTGTATAATAAAATTAGATTATTTTAAATATATACGACCGATATACTCTTCCGAGTCCATTTAAAAATTCTTGAAAAGAATTCTTAAAACCCGATTTTTTAATATAAAAAAACTCTATTTAAGATACCACAACTATGCAGCCAATGCATGCAGACATTAAGGAAACAGTGTATAAATTTGCACACACGCACAAACATGCATGAAATGTATCACATCAACTTAGTCGTAAGGTTTTACTACATATCCGCAATATTTAATTTAAATAAAATTATATAATTTGTCTGCATCAGGCTACATGAACGGATTAAAAATCGACAAACCCTAATTCCGAAAATTTATAAAAAATAGTACTGCATTTTTTGCAAAGTTTTGCAATATGCACATACACACGCACACATTTACATGATGGATACACATACTTGGTTCGGCGAACTGCAGTTATTTAAACGGCTTTCTATAAAATGTATCGGTGTTATTGAAAAAATCCATATTGTTAATCTTACCGAACTCTCTTAATTATTAACCTTTCTTATTGGATTTATTTAAATAGCCTTTGATCCCTTTTTCCAATACGTATTAGGTCCTGCACGACTTTGCACGACTGACAAGTCAGAATCCCTTGTCCGCCGATTAATATTTAGACGGCGTCTGAAAATTTCAAATCGTAACGACGGCTATTAGGTTTGTCTGCTTCAAGACCACTTAATAAGTTATATTTTCAATAGTAATGCTTATGATAAAATGCAAGTAAAACATAAGTTCCGTTCCAGAACCTAAAAGAATCTACTAATTTTGCAAGTTTTGCAACTTTATACTCGAAAACCGTTCCTGAACCCACAAAACTGCTAAAACATTGAACCAAATATAAGAGAACAATAAACAAAATGACATTCTTTTTGTAAACTTTTTACTCGAAAAATTTGTTCGTGTAAAAATGGTAAACAGGAATGCCAACTTCTAATTGGCTGTTATGACAGGTCGAATTTTTTTATAACCCTCAATCTTGAAGTCTGTGTTCAAAATTCCTTAAATCGTTCGGAATATTCAACCTTTTGCGCATCTCTTCCAGTTTGAAAGACCATGTTCCGAGATTCACCGTCAACGCAGATCAGCCCATAAATCTTTCTGAGAATTTTTCTCTCGAACACTCCAAGAGCAGCCTCATCTGCTTGCGCAAGTACCCATGCTTCAGATCCATATAACACCACGGGTACTATCTGCGTCTTGTATAGTGTGACTTTGGTCTGGCGGGTGGTGGCATTGTTTCTAAACTGCTTACATAGACCATAGTCTGTTGGCCAACACTGTCCTTCTTCGGATTTAAAAATTGACATCATTAGTTTTATTAATTGGTCTTTTCCAGTACTTTTTTTAATAGTAAATCTAGTAAAAGGGAAACATTTCAAAATTGCTCTCAGAGTACAAAATAATTTGAAAAGTTCGGGAACGCAAATCTAGTAATTATGCCAAAATAATACAATACTTCAAAATCAACATAACATTCCTGTTTACCATTTTTACTCGACCAAATTTCTCGAGTAAAAAGTTTTCAAAGAGAACGCCATTTTGTTTTGTGCTCTCTTAAATTTGAGTCAATGTTCTACCAGTTTTGTGGGTTGAGGAACGGTTTTCGAGTAAAAAGTTGCATAACATGTAAAATGAGTAGATTCTTTTAGGTTAAAAATTGATATCATTAGTTTTATTAATGGCGATACCAAGGTATATAAAATCGTTGACTGCCTCGAAGCTGTAGTTCTCAAGTTTCACAGTTGGTCCGAGTCTACTAGACGTCTTGTGCGTTGATACCATCAGCTTGGTCTTCTCGCTATTTACTCCAGATCCACTTTGGCAGACTTCTTCTCAATTTGTTCAAAAGTGACTGTTACCGTTCGACCTATTATGTCGATGTCGTATAAGTGTAATTTCTGTTCACCTTTGCGTCTCATATGCCCTTTTCCAGCAGGATGTTAAAAAGGTCACACGACAAACTGTCACCTTGTCTGAACCTCGTTCGGTATTGAAGGGTCCCGAGAGGTCCTTTCCGACTTTAACTGCTGACCTTGTGCCACTTAAAGTTATCCTGCATAGCCGTATACATTTTGCAGGAATGCCAAACGCAGACATGACTTTAAACACCTCTTAGCGGATTGGGTTGTCGAATGCGGCCTTTTCCAGGATTTGGACTATGTGCAAATCTGGACTATGATGGATTTACCAGGCATGTAGCCGCATTGGTATCGAATTTCTAACATGTCACTGCCCCATGCTACAAAACAGAAGCCACAGGCCTCTCTGTGGTTTTTGAAAAATATTCTTTAAAAAATCCACGCCTCTCTGTGGTTTTTGAAAAATATCTTTGCAAAAATACATTTTTGCTTATCTGTGGTTTTTGAAAAATTTCTTTAAAAAATCCACGCCTCTCTGTGGTTTTTGAAAAATATTCTTTAAAAAAACCACGCCTCTCTGTGGTTTTTGAAAAATATTCTTTAAAAAAACCACGCCTCTCTGTGGTTTTTGAAAAATATTCTTTAAAAAATCCACGCCTTGTGGTTGGCGTTTGAAAAATATTCTTTAAAAAATCCACGCCTCTCTGTGGTTTTTGAAAAATATTCTTTAAAAAATCCACGCCTCTCTGTGGTTTTTGAAAAATATTCTTTAAAAAATCCACGCCTCTCTGTGGTTTTTGAAAAATATTCTTTAAAAAATCCACGCCTCTCTGTGGTTTTTGAAAAATATTCTTTAAAAAATCCACGCCTCTCTGTGGTTTTTGAAAAATATTCTTTAAAAAATCCACGCCTCTCTGTGGTCTCTTAAAAAATAGTAT